GCGGCGCACTATCCAGTGCGCCACCGGGCCGGCCCTACCGGTCATCTTTAAAAAAAAAAAAGAGGGCCGGCCCGGTGGCACACTGCTGTAAGTGCGCCGCTTGGGAAGTGCGGCGGCGCTCCCGCCGAGGGTTCGGATCCCACGTATAGACCGGTTCCCGCTCACTGGTTGAGCGAGGCACGGGAGCAGCACCGAGGGCTGCGATCCCGTTGCCGGTCCCAGTCCAGTACAGGGGCGACACTGAGGGTTGCAATCCGTTGCCGGACACGGAAAAAGACAAAAATAAATAAATAAATAAAAATTAAAAAAAAAAAGAAAGTGGGCTTGGCTTTTGGAAAGCCACAAAGAGGCTATTGGGAAGTGGGGGGATTGTGGTCTCTCAATTTTCCTGTAAAACTTCCCACTAAGTTTGCCTCTCCTTGTCATGTCCTCCTTCCCTTCCCCTCATCACAGGTACTCTTTGCCCTTTATTGTTCATACTTTTCCATTTTGACACAATTTCACCTAAGAAAACCAAATACTTGGAACCAAAAGTGGGGAAGTTGGAAAACAAGACCCATTAAGGAGGTCCTGTGGGTGATGGTCAGACCTTGGAGGTGGGGACTTGCACCCAAGTGAATAAACAATACTTTATTATTTTTTTTAAAAAGATGACCGGTAAGGGGATCTCAACCCTTGGCTACGTGTTGTCAGCACCACGCTCACCCATTGAGCCAACCGGCCATCCCTATATAGGATCCGAACCCGTGGCTTTGGTGTTATCAGCACCATACTCTCCCGAGTGAGCCATGGGCCGGCCCGAATAAACAATACTTTAGATCTAGAGCTTTCTCCCAAAGCAGACCAGTGAATTTTCCAGCTGTTGGGCAACCAGGAAGAGAGCCTTGGAGCTCTGAATGAATCCTTCTTGTCTGCTCTATAAAAACGGTTCTGGACTTTTTAAGTATTTTTCCTTTCCCCGCTGGCACAATATTAGTCAATAGAGGACACCAGAGAAACATTTGAGGAGGAACAATTGCTTCACAGCTCTGGTGGGTCCCAGAACATGGCTTCTCCAGGACTCAGTTCCCGAGGTGCAAAGCAGCCAGTAGTACCCAGTGACCAGCAGCTTCAGGCTGTTTCATAGCAGAATGCCTCCAGTGAGCCATCTCCCCTAAACAGCTTTCCCTGGCACTTTAGAAGGTAGAATTCCTGTAATTTCTGGAAGGCAGATTTCTAGCATATTCCACCAGCACGGCATAACAGCA